AATATCCAGGCCTATAATGCTGAATTGGCTAACACTTTAAGTTTTTGATAAAAAAGAACTACTTTGCTCTTTACTGACACAGTTCACAGTAATTTTGATCCATTTGGTTAAAAAAATTGAAACAGGGATCAAATTAAGTAAATAAATTAATCAGAAATTAATATAGGCTGCATCAGTGACAATGCTTTTTTTTTTTTCTTACAAACTCTTCTCAAATATCCAGGCCTATAATGCTGAATTGGCTAACACTTTAAGTTTTTGATAAAAAAGAACTACTTTGCTCTTTACTGACACAGTTCACAGTAATTTGCCTCGTTTCTTTTCAGACATCCAAACTTCAGGTTTGGCGCCCTCGCTCCGTTGTGTGTGGGACAACCAACCGTGTTCCAAGTAGGACGGACCGAAACAGACCGTGTCCAATGAGATGCTCCAAGAAGTTGGCGGCAGGCAATGTCCGACAGCCGGAGCCCAGTACACCGGAAAAACATTGACGAATCCCCACAGCCAAAAGAGCGCGCAGCGACGGTGCTCCTCGTCCCATTGTTTGAGACGTACAGCTGTCCGGAGGGGTAAGCAGCCTTTATCATACAAACAAATCCACCATTACTACATAGGAATGTTGCAATTGGGTTAGCGTGGGTTCTGGACGATAATACATCACATTGTATATGTTTTGCCACGAGCTGAGTTTAATTGGGATGCTAATGATCGTAGTGTTTAATGTTGCCCCGCTAAGTTGACTACGCATTAGCTGCTGCTAACCAATACAAAGGGTAGCATATCCAATAGCATATTTACTAGCTTTTTCTCTTGGGTTAGCGACGTCATCTTAAATGCAACCAGCTGACGGAGTGGCGTTAAGTTGTAGGCTAGCCTGACGATACATGTGGCTGGCTGTGCTTTCCCATTATGTTGTTTTGCATGCTAATGCTAATGCTAACGCTAGCTAGTTAAGTGTTAACGCTGACTGGTGCTGAGGCAGCCCGCCTGCAAGGAGACAAGGCGAGCATCTTTCTCTGACACTGCGCATTAAAGTCAAGCAAACTTTTAACGTAAATATTTACAATTAACGAGAGCAACTCGTAAAAGTTATATATTTATGACGGGGCGGAAAGCGATAAAGGCCGGAGAGGTTGTTTAAAAAAAAAAAAGGAGGGGGAAAAAAAACTCGCTATTGTTAGCAAGTCTAATCAGCCATTTTAATGATCGTCTCATGATATGCTTAGCATTAGCTCATTGCTAATGCTAAGAGGACACAAAGCAGGAGCGAAGCCATAATGGCTAACAGCTAGCTAACAATCAAAAGGAGGCGGATTGTGTTGCTAATGTATTCATTTACAACCACAAGCCAGCACCCTGTCATCCGGAGACGATAAAAATAATGCAGTTAACAGTTTTCATCAGGTTACTGGTGTAACACTTAGGATAACAGCTGGAACTAAAACAGTAAATTAACGTGGTTAAATGTTTTTAGGAGCCTCATGCTAGCCTCCTGATACAATGGATCATCTGTCACCCCCCAGACACCCCCCTCCTCCTCCTCCTCCCTGTTTAAACAATAGATGGGACTCACAAAGCAGGAGGCAGACGGTTGAGGACAGAGAAATTTGCATATTGTCGCAGGACTCAACCAGGACATAGACAGTTAATGATTTTTTCCCCCTCCCTTTCTAGTAAGCCAAGATGGTGAAGGATCCAAAGAAGCCGAGGGGCAAAATGTCCTCTTATGCCTATTTTGTGCAAACATGCCGGGAGGAGCATAAGAAGAAGCACCCTGATGCTTCTGTCAACTTTTCAGAATTCTCCAAAAAATGCTCTGAGAGATGGAAGGTAAAAAAAAATAAATCTGTTATTATTTTTTCCTCTTCTAAACTCATTATTTTTGCTTCAAGTTGCATCTATTAAAATAAAATCGTTTTTTATTTTATTGTTTTCCCAAAGACTATGTCACCAAAAGAGAAGGGCAAGTTTGAAGATATGGCCAAACAAGACAAGGTGCGCTATGAGAAGGAAATGAAGAACTATGTGCCCCCTAAGGGTCAGAAGAAGAAGCGATTTAAGGACCCTAATGCTCCCAAGAGACCGCCGTATGTACCATAACGTCAAATCCCTCCTGGGTTGTTCATTCCATTTTACACTCAATCATACATCTCTAATGGTACACTAAACTGCAACATTTTGTCTTCGCAGGTCTGCTTTCTTTATTTTCTGTGCTGACTTTCGGCCCAAGGTAAAGGGTGAGAATCCCGGCCTTTCCATCGGAGACACCGCAAAGAAGCTTGGCGAGATGTGGAACAGCTTATCTGCAGAAGAAAAGCAGCCGTATGAAAAGAAGGCTTCCAAGTTGAAGGAGAAGTACGACAAAGTGAGTGGCTATTAGCTAGAAATCTGTTGACCTCGATTCGTCATTTGTAAGGATCAGTGGAATAGTTGTTATTTGTTGTGAACATAAACATCTCATACTCTCTACAGGATATTGTGGCGTACCGCACAAAGGGCAAAGTAGATTCAGCATCCGCTGCTGCAGCTGATGACGACGACGAGGAAGAGGAGGAGGGAGAGGAGGATGAGGAAGAAGAGGAGGAGGAAGATGATGAGTAGAATGCATCAAGATGGGACCTGAAGTTTTGTTTATGCCATATAATCTTAATGTACTCAGTTCAGTATCTTGAATCAAACGTCCAATTGAACAAGAAACATGTATATTTAATGTTTTTATGATGTACAGTGTTAATCTCCCTTTTTTTGTAAAGGTAACACTACATATCCTAAGTTTCAACTTTTTCTAGTGGTAGTTCTTTATTCCTGCCATACTGTATAACTATTTAGAAAGACTACATATCAGTATGAAAGTAACTAGTCTTTAGGTGTTACAACTCAAAAATGAGTTTTCTAAGTTGGTAGTGTATTTTTTGTTTTGAAAATTATTTTTGTATGTGCTGTCCAACTGTCTTTTTATTGTTGTTTGAATACCACTCTAATATCAAATGCAGCTGTTGACATTCAAGAATGTCTTCAATAAAAGTTTTTTTTAATGTGTTTGTCTTTTATTTTACAGTCTTTACAATTATACAAAATTCAAACTACATCCAGCAGGTGGCGCTTTTATGAAGTCAACTTTCCACATAAGCTTAAAAGCTGACATTTACTTTTAGGTCAGGAAATACAAAACTTATCTACCAGACTACAATACAAGCAACACAAAACCTTAATCAAAAGGTCCTTAGATATTTAATGATGTTTTGAAAGAATTATTTTTAAGCAGTAAAATGTGAGCAAAGGGTCTTGTTACGGAGCAATAAGTAATTTTGTATCGTTAATGTCACAACATTTTTAAATGCTGTTAAGAAGATAAGTACTTTTTGTGTCGTGTGTACTTGGAGTTAAAAGCGTGACCTTTTTGTCGTTTCTGGTTTTGAGTTGCCTTGCTGTAACTGGAGACCACCTCAGTCACAGTGGCCTCACAATCACTTAAAGTGGGTTCACACGTCTGTTTATTGGATGTTTTTCAGCAGTACAAAAACTCCCTTTCTCAAAGGCATGCAAAAAAGTACACAACCGCCTCCTTTCAGTGATTACAGGCTAATCCTGCATATTCCTAATAGCCTAAGTTTGTCCTTAAAGTCATCTTTATTTGTATAACATTTGCTCTGAAAACTGGTTTTGCTACACTCAATTTAATGTGAGCTGTCTTAAGACCTGTGGTTCAGAGTGAAGCCCATCCCCTAAACACATCACACATTTTCCTCTGAATGAATGCCCTTTTCTCACATGCCGCGCTGCAGACAGAGCAATGGCAGCTTCAAACTCTACAAAGAGAAAATAAAGCAAGTGGAATCAAGTTTGTGGTAGGATATGTTGGTTTTTTTCCTTCTCATGGTTCATTTTTTAAAAATGCAAATTTTTACATTACAAAACAAAAGTAAAGCGACTGGTAAATGTGTTGTAATCACAAAATGAAAAAATTTAAGCTGATTTATTTTGAAACTTTTTTTTGACTTGCCAAAGAATTTGCTTAGAGTGGAGGCATGCCTTTCTGGAAGACCTGCTGAAGAGAGAGGTGATCGCTACAAATACAGTTCATAGGTTTTTCAGTTTGTTATATTTGGAACCACACTGCACTTTCCAGACTTCATTATTTCATGCTGCATTTGTTTTTATTTACTTAGGATCAATTACTGACTTGTTTTTGCAGTCATGACTAGGAATAACATTCTCCAGATAAAAACCTTATAATGGAATTTAATGGACAACCGAGGAAATACTTAGCTTTATTACTACCTGTTGTGGTAAGTTGATCTATTCAATCATTTATTGTGATTAAATGTATAACCTAATCAGACATTTAGGACAAAATGTATTTTTATGTCATTTTAAAACTACATTTAAATTAGCTGAATAAGGGAATCTTCTTTTCTCAGCTTTTTGTTCCTGTCTCATGTGATGACCCTTTATTTGGAAACTCGAGGAATCAAAGTACTGGGCGTGAGTTTGCAGATACAGTTGAAGGGCAACATATGCTTCCCTTCTGGTTTAATGCATCCGTTGATGTCGAGCATGGCCCAGTCAGATCACACTCACAAAACAGATGGCAAACCCAGATGGCTTTGTCCAGAACTGTTTATTCATTTCAAGTAAAAGAAGACACAGTGCCAGGTTTGTCATTTCCTCACTTGTAAGCACATTTACACAGCATGTTTGTTGACAACTATCAAATACTTATTTTATCTAAATTTATCATACAATTATTAGTTGTTTGTTTTGTATTGATTGTCAGATGTCTTCTCTATTCTGCCATAATTAGTTCACCCAGTAATTATACCAGTAATAATTATACATGGTCTCCTGTGTTGGCAGGAACTGTTGTGGGAAAGGTGGAAACACAGTTTGAGGGTCTCACGCCTATCACATACTCAGTTCAGGAGGACGATGGGGAGAATCTATTCCTCCTCAGCCCCATCTCAGGGGAGTTCCTATTATCCCGCAGCCTGGACTTTGAAACCCAAAGATTCTACATTCTCACAGTGGAGGCGAAGCAGGGGGACTTGCAGGTATCCAGTGACAGGGTGTACTTCAATGTGCTGGATGTGAACGACAACCCTCCTGCTTTTAGTCTGAGCCACTTCTCTGTGTTGCTGCTGGAGGACACACAAGTGGGCACTTGCTTCCTGTCGTTAAACGTATCAGATAACGATCATGGTAAGCGGATAACGGAATTTATCACCACTCTACAAAATTCTACTGAAAGCATTTGAATTTGTGCTTAGGTTACTATTTTGAAATAGAAAAGTTGACATTTTAGTGTCCTCCAAACCTTTAACTAAACCAGGTGCTTATATTATGTCTTTTCTGGGACACATGTGGCTGAGTGGTTATGGGGAGTTGACCTCCAATGAGAAAGTTGGCTGTTCCATTCCACCGCTTTTCAGTCACATGTCAAAGTGTCCCTGGGCAAGACACTGAACCCCTACTGCCCCACTGTCCCGGTGTATGAGTGGGATTTAAAGCACTGATTAGTCTCTTTAGAATGATTTGTCTAGTTCCAGTGGTGGACAAAGTACTCAACTCTAGTACTTGAGTAAAAGTATTGATACTCATGGTCAAATCTACTCCACTACAAGTAAAAGTTACTCAGTCAAAAATCTACTCAAGTAAAAGTACTAAAGTACTCACTTTTGAAAATACTTAAGTATTCAGAAGTACATGCATTTTAAAGTACTTAAGTACAAAGTAAAAGTACAAATTACATTTTCTTTTTTCTTTTCTTTTTCTTGTCACTTCAGTAGAAAACTAAACTAAATATTAGTTTATTTAGTTTATTTATTCATCATCAGTGACTTTTTTTAAGTGAAGAGAAAATAGAGACAGAGATAAAAACAGAGAGAGAAGTAATTAGAAAGATAGAAAGATTGAAATAGAAGTATATTAAATATACACCAACAAAACACAGGACCACACACCCAACATCTGTCCGCTCACCTGAAAAATAAATGGATAAATACATGGAGGGCATATATAAATATATACACATACCCATACATATATAAAGATTTACATACATACATACATACATGCCTACATTCATAAATATTGTCAGTATATACACACAGACATATATACACACTCAGTGACCAGTCAGAACCCCCCGGATCAGAGCACCTGTTTGTGAGCAGTTGTGAACATGCGTGTATATACAAGATTTCTCCAATGGAATATTTAATGGTGACTGTGGAGGACCGAGAATGGAATACTTTACCCGTGGTAAACAGAGAAGACATTTGAACTGATACGTATTATTTTTAAGTCCTAAAACCTCGAACATTGAACTGAGATACGGCCATGGGTGTGCTGGTTTCTCTCCTTGCGTTTCCTCAGTGGTCTCCATTGCATCTTCTTATTTTGTCTGGTTCTGCTTGAAATGAAAGTAAAGTGATGGGAGCGCGCGCTCCGCTACCGAGAGTTAATGAGTGTGACGTAGGCTATAAGCTACGCATGTGATTGGTTACCTTTGTGACGAACATAGCTTGTGGCCAATTGCATTTCATGAAAAGAAAAACCGGAACAACAGATTTTTTTTTTACAGCGGATTATAAAGCTATGCTGATCAAAAAGGAACGAGTAACGACAAGCTTCCTAGAAATGTAGTGGAGTAAAAAGTACAATATTTGTCTTTGAAATGTAGTGGAGTAAAAGTAAAAAGTTCCCAAATAAATAACTACTCAAGTAAAGTAAAGATACTCAAAAAATGTACTTAATTACAGTAATAAAGTAAAAGTACTTTGTTACTGTCCACCACTGTCTAGTTCTATCTTTGTAAAGTACTGTGTGAATGGGTAAATAAGGGCACAGATTGTGTAAAGTGTTATGAGTATCCTGGTTGGATTGAATGCAGATATGTACCATTTTATCTCCTCTAGGTGACAGCGGCAAAGTGGAACTGAGAGTGGCCAGTGGTGATAAGCTGGGTATCTTCTTAATACAACCAACAGGTAGTTTATGCCTGAACAAAGAGCTGGATAGAGAAAGTCAACCATCCTATAATTTGACTGTAACAGCCAATGACTGTGTCCAGCCCACGTCTCTACAGCTCACCAGCACGGCACATGTTTTGGTCCTTGTTGAAGATGTCAATGACAATGCTCCATTGTTTGTGTCTGCCAAAAGTGTGTCCATACCAGAGGACACTGCATTACATTCTGTTATAATGACTTTACACGCAGATGATGAAGATGCAGGATCCAATGCAAAGGTTTTGTACTTTTTGAGCAACTCTTCAAGTGGAATATTCAGCATCAACAACACAAGTGGAAACATATACCTGGAAGAGATACTGGACAGAGAAACTGTCGAGTCGCTGACTATTATGGTCACAGCTACTGACATGGGTTCACCTCGAATGGAAACCACAATGAATTTGACAGTGTATGTTGAAGACATAAATGATAACGACCCTGAGTTCTTCCAAAGAAACTACAGCTTGTCGGTCAGAGAGGATATCTCCAGGGGAACGAGCCTGTTTCAGGTTCAGGCTCACGATCAAGATACAGGGCCAAATGGACAAGTGCGGTACATGTTGAGCCCGGCTGGTCCATTTGTGGTGGACACAGTTCGAGGTGTTGTCACAGTCATGGATCGACTTGACAGAGAAAAGGATTCAAACTACCTCTTAATTATAACAGCTGTGGATCGAGGGAGCCCACCCAGATCTGCCACTGTCACTATCAGCATCACAGTGCTGGACATCAATGACTTCACACCCTGGTTTTCCCCAGAAAGACTCATCATTCATGTCAGGGAGAATGAGGATGAACTATCTCAGCTAACGCAACAGGTACTGCTAGATCTCTAGTTCATATTTTAGGTTGTACCTGCTAGGCTTATTTTTAATTGTTTTGGACCAGGTTTCAGCCTTGGATGAAGATTTGGGGATCAACAGTCAGCTGACCTACTTTATACAATCAGGAAATCATGATGACTTGTTTTCCATCACTCCTGATGGCACTTTCCAGATTTTACACAGCCTAGACAAGGAAAGGGAATCATTATATATTGTCACCATCACTGCTGTTGATTCGGGTAATTCAAGTCAGACTTCACATGTTGATTTAACTACTTCTTTAAACATTAAAATCAGCTTGATAGTGAATGCCATTTTGTTTTTTGAAAGGTTTTCCATCTCTAACTGGCACTTTGACCCTGCATATCATTGTGGATGATGTCAATGATAACTATCCAGAGTTTACAGAAGATGTGTACAACACCATTGTGTCTGAGGACAGTCCAATAGGCACAGTGTTTGCAATGATAACTGCATCCGATGCTGATGAAGGCATGAGTGGAGAAGTAAGGTAAAATGTCACACAAGAAAGACACATGAAATAAAAGATAATAACCAACATGTCGTTTTCCCTACTCATATAAACTTGAAGATAATGCAGTACAGTACTTTAGTATATTTTGTGTTAGTCATTTACCACATTCTGTATTAAAAGTACCATTTCTCCCCTCTAAATTAGGTATTTTATGGAAAATCTCGATGCACCTTTTGCTATTGAGGAAATATCTGGAGAGCTGTTTACAGTGGATTTCCTGGACAGAGAGATGGTAGCCATTTATACATTGACAGTGATAGGAAGTGATATGCATCCCACTGAGCCTCTGTCAAGCTCTGTGCTTGTTACTGTGCTTGTTGGTGACATAAATGACCACTGGCCTCAGTTCATGAACACCCCCTATATAGCCTATGTGCCCATTGAATTAGCTCCAGGTGAGATTTTACTTCCTTGTGACAGTTCAGGTACAGTCCTTGAGACTAAGATTAGATTTTCTATTTTTATGATTTTTTTTTTCGTTCTTTTTTTACAGGCTCAGTTGTTTGTGCAGTGAGAGCAGTGGATGGAGACATAGACATGAATGCACAACTGCATTTTTCAATATATGGACAAAGTTCGGACCTATTTTCCATTGACCCAAACAGCGGCACTGTATTCACTTCAGGTTTACTGTGGAACACAGACGATATTACTATCAATGTGTATGTCGAGGATGCTGGAGAAAACACCAAATTTGACATAACTACTATCAGTATCAAGTTTCAGAACATTTCCGACTTTCCTGAGATGACTGTGGATGTTTTGAGTTATTCCCTGTCTGAGGATCTGCCAGTAGGAACACTGGTGGCTATGGTCTCTGCAGTAAGCATCAGAGCTGAACCTGTTTCTTTTTTCATTGCCTCTGGAAACTTTGAAGACATGTTTTACATAGACCAATTAGGTGGAACACTGACGGTGGAGAACCCTCTAGATTATGAAAACAAAAAGGAATTTTCTTTGTTAATTGAAGCCAGAGACTCAGGCTTACCTCCATACTCATCATTTTCAGAAATTCTTATAAATATTACTGATGTAAATGATAACTTCCCAGAGTTCACTCAAGATGAATACAGGTGTGAGGTTCTTGAGAACTCCCCACCAACGGTGGTGTGTGATGTTCTTGCCGTCGATGCAGATTCTCCCAATTATAGCACAATACGATACAACATATTAGAAGGGAATACTGAGTTTTTCACACTTGATCCTGAAAATGGTTTACTGCAAACCACTTCAAGTCTAGATAGAGAAACCATCCCTGTGTTCAGTTTAGGAATTGAGGCTTTGGAGCTTGATAACCCTCTGCATCAAGCCAAAGCAACAGTTATTATTAGTGTTTTAGACAGGAATGATAATGTGCCTCGTTTTACACAGATTTTTCTTGCAGAGGTGCCAGAAGATGCCTCTGTAGGACACACAGTTTTAAAAGTAACCGCAACCGATGATGATGCTGACTATAATGCAGCAATCAGTTATTATATACATGACCAAACTGAGAACATGCCTTTTGAAATTTACTCCAGCACTGGGTACATTATTGTCAAAGGGCCTTTGGACAGGGAAGAAAAGGATCACTATGTCTTTAAAGTTAGTGCAAATGATTCAATGTGGAGTATAAGCACTGATGTCAACATCGTAATTTCAGATGTCAATGATAATAGACCAGTATTTTTACACGATTTTTATACAGCTGTCCTTGCTGAGACGGATGATAAAGAGATTTTTATTTTGCAAGTTCTTGCTTCAGATCTAGACATTGGGCAAAATGGTGAAATTTTATATGTTGTTGACCCTCCAAATGAAATGTTTTGGGTGAATTCTTCTTCTGGTGAGATTTATACAAAGCAGCCGCTGCTTTTACGTGGTACTGCTTTTGAAATATACAACTTTACAGTTCTTGCTTATGATTGTGGCACACACCCTCCGAACAGTAATGTTACTGTCACAGTGAGATTAGAACCATATAACCATCACCCTCCAATATTTCTTTCTTTCCAACCCCTTGTTGCTATTCCATTCGACCTGCCTGTGGGATCTGAGGTGATAAGGTTTACGGCAACAGATCTAGATGTTAACAGCAGCACAAGCATCGAGTTTAATGTGAGTGGCGGTAATGCATCTAATTTCTTTTGGATTCAAGCAGACAGTGGGAAGGCATTCTTAAATGAAACTTTATCAGAAAACCTGTTTCTAAATTTATTAGTAGAGGTCAGAGATAAAGGATTTCCTCCTTTGACATCAAAAACTGAAATCATTTTTGAAATTACTGGAAGGAACACATTTTCTCCAAGCTTCCTTGAACCAGATGTTACTTTCTCTATTCCTGAGGATTTACCTGTTGGATCAGTGGCTGGGAAAATTCAAGCAGAGGATGGGGATTATGGTCCCAACGGTGCAATTAGGTACTTCATTTCGACTCAAAATCAACACTTACCACTCTCTGTTGGTGAAGTCTCTGGGCTGCTTACACTCACCAGAGAGCTTGACTTTGAAAAGGAACGAATTTATAATTTACAAATCAAAGCCACAGATGGTGGATGGTTCTCTAAAACTGCTTGGGTAAATGTTACAGTGATAATAATGGATGTAAATGACAATCCTCCTGTGTTTTCATCATCTGAGTTTGCAGTTTCAGTTCTTGAAAACTCACAAATTGGAACAACTGTTTTAGATGCAAAGGCCACAGATATGGACTCGGGGATAAATGCACACATATCGTACTCTCTTATTGCTGGCTATGTGGATAAATTTGCAATAGATCCAAAAAATGGGACTGTAACTACTTTGGATGTGTTTGATTATGAGCAAGAGCAGCTTTTTGATTTAACAATCAAAGCCTCAAACACAGGCAGGAACACATTATTTGGCTTGGCATATGTTGTCGTCCAGGTTTTAGATGTCAATGAATTCATTCCAACATTTTTGAAAACGACTTTTAACTTTTCAGTGTTTAAGAATGTGCCCGTTGGAACAACTGTAGGGAAAGTGACAGCCACTGATGATGACCGAGGCCCTGAAGGTCTGGTGCTTTATTTGATGTTTGGCCATGGCAAAAATACAGGCTTTGACATTGACCAGCTTTCTGGAGAAATACACACAAGTGCAAGTTTGAGGAATCGAGGCAACAGCCATGTAGTTTTTAAAGTTCTTGCAAAGAATTCTGGTATTATAACTGGGAGAAATGTAGATGAGGCATTAGTCCATATTAATGTAAATGACATCAATGATGCACCTTCATTCACCTCTACATGCTACTTTGTAAATGTTACAGAAGACAGCCCAGTTGGGACATCTGTGCTAACTGTGAGTGCTCTGGATCAAGATTACATACCGGACTGGAATCGATTCTTCTTCACCATTGAAAGTGGAAACACAAAATCCTCTTTTTCTATTGATCCACTTAAAGGTATCATTTCAGTAAATTCATCACTCGACCGAGAACTCTGGCCAGTTTTTAACCTCACTGTTACAGCCACTGATAATGGCTCTCCACCAGCCACCGGGACTACAAATGTCATTGTGACCATTGGAGATATTAATGATAATGCCCCACGACTCACATCAACTGAGGCTCAAGTGAAGGAAAATCAACCCGAAGGCACTGTAGTCGTCAGATTAAACGCATCGGATTCCGATTTACCCCCAAATCAAGGTCCTTTTATCTACAGGTTATACAATTTGTCAGAGTCTAGTGCTTTTTTACTCACTCCTGATGGAGTTTTACTCACCACACAAAGTATTGATCGGGAAGACAGCTCTGAATATCGAGTCCTGGTGGTGGTTAGCGATGCAGGGCTTCCTTTGCCGCTGTCTTCAACAACCACGCTTCACATCAAGGTGGTGGATGAAAATGACAACCCTCCGTTGCCAAGAAATATCTTCATTGAAGTGAAATATTTTGGAAGTTCTTTTAAGGGGGGCATGATTGGCAATGTGCATCCCGAGGATCCCGATGAGTCTGATACATTTACTTGTGCCATTAAAAGTGGGCCGACAAATATGTTTTCGATACTCAATGGTACATGTGAGCTGTGGTCGTTGCCCTTTCAAGGCGAGGCCACATTTAACATCACCATTGAAGCTACTGATCAGCTTCACTTCCCCGTTAACAACAGCATATACATTAACTATAAAGGTTTTACTAACGCATCTGTAGACAGTTGTATATTATTCTACATGTCATCATCTTCAATGGAAGAGTTCTTATCTAATAAGTATTTGAGGTTTGTAAAAGCTCTGGACAGTCTGTTCAACCTACAGGCCTCAAAGACTCATGTTTTTGGAATCAAACATGTCAGTAATGGAATCCTTCTGTTGGCTGCTGTAAAAAACTACAACGGACAGTATCTTAGCAGAGAGGTAGCGAGTAGTATCTCAGCTGGACATAAAAAGCTATTGGAAGCTCAGAGCAATGTGACAATTTCTCACATCACCAGTGACCCATGTCTCACCAACCCCTGCCAGAACAGGGCATCATGCAACAAAAACATTTACATCAGCCAGGGAGCTGCTGTCCTGGAAAGCACGGCTGTCATCTTTGTGTCACCACAGAAAGAGATTTTTAATTGCACCTGTCCAGTTGGATTCACCGGTTCGCTGTGTGAAGATGACATCGATGAATGTGAGGGGATTCCATGTGAGAACAACAGTACATGTGAGAATACCGCTGGAAGTTTTTACTGTCACTGTCAGAGTGGCTTCTCTGGCTCTTTCTGCTCTGCTGATGCTGATGAATGCCTGAAGGTGAAGTGCCAAAATGGTGGAACGTGTGTTCAATCACAGGATGGGTATTATTGTCAATGTGTGCCTGGATTTGAAGGTAAGAAAAAAACAACATATTGTTTGAAAAGAAAACAGTATCTCTCTTAATTTTCAATTGWTTTTTTTTTTTTTTTTTTTTTTTCAGGGGAAAAGTGTCAAGAGGTTATAGATCAATGCAGATCAACACCTTGTGTTCAGGGCACCTGCATCAACCTACAGAAAGGATTTTTCTGTAGCTGTCCTTTTGGTAAGACAAATACCAGAGGTACTGTATATAATGTTCTTAAAATAAATAAGTAAAAGTAAAAATAACTTAAAATGACGTAAATTTTAATTTATGTAATAGCACTTTCCTGAATTTAACACCATATATAAAGGGGCACTCACACAGTTTTGGTTGCATTTAAGATATAACGATTATTGTCTGGGAGCCCCAGGTCAGCTTGGGTCCCTAGGCAGTTGCTTAGTTTGCCTGCGCTGTTGCAAAATTGCCTGCCACGTTACTCTATTTTTCAAATTTAAAGACAGATTTTAAAATATTACAATTATTCCAAAAGGAAGGCCTGAGGTGGCACAGTGGCTCAGTTGGTAGAGCTGATGCTCTCAACAATAAGGCCACTGGATCAAATCCTGGCTTGGGACCTTTTTGGGTAGAGTTTACATGTTCTCTGCATGCGTGGGTTCTCTCCTGGCCCTTCGTCTTCCCACACACCAAAAGCATGACTGTTAGGTTAATTGGTAACTCTAAATTTTCCCTAGGTGTGAGAGAGTGAATGGTTGTTTGTCTCTATGTGTGGTCCTGTGATGAACTTGTGACCTGTCCAGGGTGTACCCTGCCCCTCGCACAGTGTCTGCTGGATATGGGCACCAGTGAACCCTGGGAGAAAGAAGTAGGAGTAGATAATGGATGGACAATTCTTCCTTGTAACTTGACCCTGTATTCTTTGAACTTTTCCTTCCTCCCTGATCCATTCATACTTATAGGAGTCAGCGGAGTTCATTGTGAGGAACACAGTTACGGCTTTGAAGAGCTTTCCTTCATGGAGTTTTCACCTCTGGATCGCAGGACTAATTTAATCTCATTTGAGTTTGCAACAGTGCAGAGGAACTCCCTCCTCCTCTACAATCCTGGAGCATCATCCAGCAGGGAGTTCTTTGCACTGGAGATACTTGACGGGACCATACTTTTGTCTTACGACCTTGGCTCGGGGCCTGTGAGGCTGAAGACATACAAACAGGTTGCAGATGGGCAGTTTCACAGCGTCACTGTCAAGAGGATTGGCAATGTGAGCTTTAACTATATTCATTCACAAACCTGACATCAGTTTCCACATGGGAAAAGAACAGTTTTTAAGTCTCTTTTTCTATTTTAACAGATGGGGTCTTTGCTTGTGGACAACTGCACAGATGTTGAGAACAATGAGTTTTGTTTTTCAAAGAGTGACGCGAGTCTGTCAGAGAGGTGCTAAATACTGATAACGTTTCATCTATTTTTATGGCCTTGAATAAACAGCTCTAACTCAATTCACTTTATCTTTCTTCTATACTTCCATGTACCAGGACACTTGATGTTGGTAACACTAACATGACGCTTGGAGGACTGAGGAATGCTCAGATAATTTTGCAGCATCCTAACCAAATACAAACTCACGACTTTGTCGGGTGTTTAAGAAACATTAACATCAACGGAATGCTGCTGAAACCTTCAGCAGGCCTTGCAATCTACAATGTTTATAACAGGTAGGATTCTTTTCTTTTGGACCTCATTAACACATAAAAGCGCCTTTATTGTAAGTGTATTGTATCTGTTTTATTCATGTCCCGATATAAACATTGTTTTTACTCTGAGATGTCCTCGAACAACAACGTCGGGATGCAGTAGTGTCCCGTGTCAGAACGGGGGTGTGTGTCAAGACCTTTGGTCTTATCATCTTTGTGAGTGCAAACATCCTTTTACTGGGAGTAACTGTGCTGCAGGTGAATATATTTAATGAGATATTTATTACTTTAAAACTAACAATTTTATGTCCTAATTACAGAAACCTTCATTCAAAAAATTATGTGAAGAATCTATTCTCAACAAAAATTGATATATTTTTGTAATTTTCACAGTCAGTGTCCTTACATACTGTCTGAAATTCAGCTAGAGAGAGATAGGCTTTATAATAAAGGAATGGTTGTTACTAATCAAAAATTTCTTCCTCTTTGAAACAGAAATGTCAGAAGATTTTGCACTGAAACTGGATGAGCAAGACTACATTGAATACGTCATTAAGGAGAGATTCAAAAGAGATTACCTGCTTAAAAAACTGGTGGATAAAGAAAAGGAGATTAATGTTAGAGACCAAACTGTGATTAACATCAAGTTCAAAACCAAACATGATGGAGTTTTACTCTCTGTTGTTGGACAGACAGAATACATTATGCTTACGGTTAGTATGATGTGTTTAACTATTTAAATGATGCATCTCAATGTAATTAACATAAAAAAGTTATTTATTATAATTTTTTTTAAATTTCAAAAATTTGTTTTCAGATAAGAGACAAAAAGCCCGTGTACATTTTTGAGGACACTCAGTCAGGACACCTGTCAGAGTTCACTGTGGAGGTTTTGGTTGCTGATGAACTCTGGCACATCGTGACCTTATCCAGCCAAGGAGCTGACACCTTCCTGTCGGTGAATGATAAAAGCCTGTTGAACATCTCTGGGCGAAGCATGGAGCTCTCTGCTGTTAATGTAGACAGGTTCATTCTTGGTGCAGCTCCAAAACAGGGAATAAAGCTCCAACAATCAGGTGAGCTGATGCCTTAAATTTATTATTATTATTTTAAGTTTTTTTGGTTTTTTGGTTCGATTGAGCATGTCTGCATCCTTCTTGCACCAGGGTTCAGCGGATGTGTGCAGTATTTTAACGTGAACGGTCACTCTCTGCCCGTCAGCGGACACAGCTTCACGGTAGAGGTCTGGCCGAGCTCGAGTTTGACACAGTCCAGCTGCAGCTCTCCAGATGTGTGCCACTCCTCGCCTTGTTCTGAGGAAGGTACGGGCGGGGGGACATGTCTCTCGCATTGTTCAGACCCGTGGGCGTGTGGAGCAGCTGTTCGAAACACATCCTGCGTCTGTTTGAAGAACGTCTCTGATCATTTCTGTGATATCTGCATCTTTACAACCCACGAAGAATGCTACGAAGCAAAACACAGCCGGCCTGCGTGGCTCATAGCCGTGGTTTTGCCTCTCATCTCCATTCTGGTGACGGCGGGGACGTGTGCGGGCGTGGGCCTGTACAGAGTCAGACAGCGAGATGCAAGGCTGAAAGCTGAGACCTTCCCCCAGAAAACAGAGCAAGGAACAGCAAACATAACTTTTTGTTTTGATGACAACCAAGCTCTTGCAGATGCCGTGTTGAATGGAAAACAGAAACATCGTGATCCGCTAAGTGCAAACCAGCAGAAGTCAAGTGAGAAGTTTTATTCTGACGCTAGTGTGTCGTGTGCACAGCCGATGCTACCAAGTGAGCTGGAGTATTATGAGATCGGCAGCATCTGTAGCACGTTTCACCCGGACAACAGCTTGGCGAAACTCAGCTGGCACACGCAGCTCTGCAGTGCGAAACATGTGAAAAGTGCTTCGAAACAGTGGGGAGATCTGAGAACGCTGCTGGCCAGATTTAAGAAAGATGGCTCGAGTGAAGAAACCCCCCCTGCAAAGCCACAGAGCGTCGCCTCCCTGAGCGAACAGCTGTTGTGCAGGCTGGACCCCGAGCAGCTCCAGCAGACGCCGCCTTGTCATTTAAAACGGTTTCCACAAGCAGAGCTCCTGGAGCCGACACAAGGCCTGAGTTGGGAAGAGATAAGCAAACTAAGTGCTCCTTTTCCGTCTTCACAACAAGCCTCCCTGAAACCTGGACCCGGCAAGTCCACTGTGATTACGGAGACTTCATCAGAGTGTGAAACAGACAGCACCCTTACATGCTCTGATTCAGATTACGGACAGTTTTCTATCATCACTGATAAGAAACGTATGCATGACCATTCAGAGAGCGACTTTAGGCAGGAAGGCTTTTTGCCCGTCAACAGATTTTTTAAACAAACCTCTCCTTCCACTGCAGGTCAGGATGAAACTGACAATATTTCCTCCATTGTGTTTGAGCAGTTTGAAACTATTTTAACTACGCAGCTGCCTTTTAGCAGCTATGCACCTGTTTTTGATGATATTGCTCGTTTACCCATCAACTCTAGTCCCAGCTGGGACGTGCAGAGCGATGATGAAGAAATTATTTAGTTTGTCTCAGTAGTGTAAATTGACCTATTAGTTTATTTCTTGCATTTAGCTATTTTAAGATGCACCTCTGTTCATTTTTAGCTGCTGGACTGCTGGACTATTTCACCTGTTAAATGAGCAGTAGTCTGAAAACAAAAGTTCATTCATGAAACATATTAGTGGTTTTTTTTAACTTTATTAATCCAGGAAAGTCCCACTGAAATCCAAAACCTCTTTTCAAGGAAATCCAGGCCAAGAAGCAGCAAAAGTTACACAACTGAAATGTTTGTTTTAACTGTAGTATAGATACGTAGAATATGAATATCCCTTTCTGTTTGTACAATAAATTAAAACTTTTAATCAAGCATTTTGTATTTCTGTGTGATATTGATATTGATATCTAATCCAAAATTAACTTGGTTAAATACCATTAAAACTTTAAAAAATCATGAAAATAATCTTGAAATCAGTTTGGAAGCCTGTTAAAACTAATAATGAGACTGTGCCTTCTAATACCTGTTAAAACTTGCACACCGGCAATCTTTAGAAAAATTTGTTGAAGGCAGAAAAATTGTGGTCACATTGATATCAATGTTTTGAACAAAATATTTAATGTGGCATTAGATTATTTAAAACAATACAACTCATTAAACAAATAATTAATCATTTAATAACTATATAAATAACTATATAATTTTGAAGTGAATGATGGGGTGAGGGGGGCATTAAGGCTAATGAAGTTGTCTGACTAATGACTGGCTCCAGGGAAAAAATATTTATTTTTTTTAAATTTTTGTTGAAATAAATCTTAGTCTAATTCAAGCAACAACTTAAACAGGAACTATTTTTATCTTTTATGGTTTACAGGAAAGCTGTTCAGAAATAAGCCGATGGTTTAACTCCACCCAGTGGTCAGATTTAGGGAAACGAAAAGTGGAATAACTCGATTACATTTAAAGATGCATTTTTCTATCCGAACATACGAAGATCCTTTTAGAGCAACATACAGTTCAGATTTATTACATTTCTAATGTGAGTTTAAAACTTTTCAATGCAAAGTTTCAACAACAGAGATACATTTTAAAATTATTATTTTATTACAGAATAAAAACAGTTATTTTCATTTTACAGAAGTATTTTCTTTTTACATTCTGGTGTAAATAAATCCAGTTTTAAATATTAAAGACATATTTTAGTAATCAGAAATGAGGCTTCAAATCAAATGATCACAGTAAAGTTTGTCTGAGGAGAAATTCATCTGTGTCAGTTTTATTCAGCTTTTTAAATTATTTAAATAAAGCACTGAAACAGCATTTACAGAAGTCCAAACTAAAGCAAATTTAAGCAGAGAGAAATGATCGACTCCTTATAAATAATACATTTGACATATTCTTTTTATGTAAACAAATTATACAAAACTTGAAAATAATGTAAATTTGCATCACAACATATGTATTGTTCTAACTGATATTTTGCTTACAGTCACTTTTTAATACAGTACTTATTTTCCTATTCATGAATCTTCGCATCAAAGCCTGTTTTATTTCCATGGTCTTGAAACAATATATGACTGGATTAACTGTAGCAGGTATGAGGCTGTACAGCATCGTTATGATTACACCAGCATCAAGGCTAAATTTAAATCCCAAATTGTTAGTAATATAAATAAAACATCGGGGCAAATAGTAAAGGCAGGTTACAAAGAGCTGAGGACCACAGGTGGACAGCACCTTGTTGTGCCTATCTTTGAGAGACATTTTCAGGACAGCTATGATGATAGAAAAATAGGAAACAATAATAAAAGTTAAGGGAACTAAAAGAGTGATCATAGCATTTGCAAACGCAACCCATTTCACATACGCAACATCACTCCCACATCCCAGATCAGTAACAGATACAAGATCACAGAAGCACTGCATGACAGTGTTCCGGTCACAGTAAGGCAGAGTTGATGCATGAAGCACTATCCCCATCATTCGTATAAACGTAAAAACCCAACACAAGCTACAAGCAACAGAAATGACTGTGTTTGTGAATAAAGTGGGATATTTGAATGGAAACCATATGGCAACAAAGCGGTCCAATGCCATCATCAGAAAAATCAGAGAGTGGATGGCTCCCAAAGAATGGATAAAATACATCTGTGTGAAACATGCTCTAAATGAAGAAAGCATATCGTTCCACCAATATCTGGCAATGATCTTTGGGAGAGTTACCGTGCCAAAAAGGATGTCTGACATTGCAAGGTGAAAAAAGATCAAATATGTCGATTTGTGGAGAGTCCTCTCACTTATGATAACAACTATAATAAAAAGATTCCCCAACAAAATAGCAAGAAAAACAACAAAGAGAATAAAAGACACCAGTCCATAGTACTCTGGTGGCAGTCCAGGGAATCCAATTATTTTGAAGTCTGTTACAGTTGTAATATTTGTGTATTTCATGATCACATGTTCAACAAAAAAAACATGCAAACACATAAAGTACAATTAACCTTCATTTGAAACCACAAAATAAGCTCAGAAAAGAACACTTTACTATTAACGTTATTATTGTACCTTTCAAATCAATAAACAACAAATCATTCATTTTGCTCTGCACACCATCTCACCTTTGCACTTCTGACAAAGTCTGAGCTCCTCCAAGTAACATAATGATAATGCAGCATGTCAGAATCTCACCACTTTATTTATAGCTTTCCAGGAAAGTCAGGAGTAATGAAGTGTGGGGCGGAAAACTCACGGGAACCAACTTACAAACTCAAAGTTTTGTTTTTCACTTCAAACACTTTCAGTCATCTTAAAGGGGTGGTGGTGGTGGTAGAGGGTATTATGCAAAATGAACTTTTTTATTTTATTTTATTTTGCTTTATATCATATGACAGAATTTCCTCATTAAAAAAATAATCCGAGTGTTGCTTTGATTCATTCATACATGCTTGAGAAATCCTTGAATCTCCTGTGGTAGCTGCGTGGAGTTGCCAAAATGCTTGCTGGTACAAAGCACCGCCTATTTGTACAAAGCTMCTTCCTGGAGCTAAGTCTGTTTCTGCCCCACAGAGCACCTCTGTCCTGAAGCTTTGTTGTGAAGGCGTGCTGAAGTGGGAGTGTCCAAAATGGTAGGAGGGTATGATGTCARATTTATTTTTGATACATAGAGCWTTTTCATAACAACTGAAGGAAACATATTGRTTGTTACATAGAACTGAACAGTGTTCCTGGAAAATACATAATATTTCCTCTTTAAACAATAATAGGAAAATGTAACGTTTAAACAACCAGCTAAAAACAAAGATCATGCTCTATACAGTATGCTATAGTTCAAAGGACGAAAACAATTAAAACACAAGTAAAAATGAGGCCATTCATCCATTTTCTTCCACCTATCAGGGGTCGGGTCGCGGGGGCAGCAGCTTCAGAAGGGAGGCCCAGACCTCCCTCACCCCAGCCACTTCTTCCAGCTCCTCCGGGGGAACTCCAAGGCGTTCCCAGGCCAGYCGAGAGACATAGTCCCTCCAGCGTGTCCTGGGTCTTCCTCGGGGCCTCCTCCCGGTGGTACGTGCCCGGAATACCTCACCAGGGAGGTGTCCAGGAGGCATCCTTACCAGATGCCCGAGCCACCTCAACTGGCTCCTCTCGACGTGGAGGAGCAGCGGCTCTACTCTGAGTCCCTCCCGGATGACAGAGCTTCTCACCCCCAGCCACCCTTTGGAGGAAACCCATTTCGGCCGCTTGTATCCGGAAACTCGTTCTTTCGGTCATGACCCAAAGCTCATGACCATAGATGAGGGTAGGAACGTAGATCAACCGGTAAATCGAGAGCTTCGCTTTCTGACTCAGCTCTCTCTTCACCAYGAMGGACCGGTACAGCGTCCGCTTTACAGCAGACGCTGCGTTCATTCAATAAAACCAAATAAGTCAACACTCAAACACCATTAAAAGCCAATAAATACAGTGTGTTTTTAAGATGYGAGTTAAAACTCAAAAGTTGATGCCTGGGCAAAATGTAGATGCAGCTGGTTACACAATTCAGAGGCTACAACAAGCCTGAACACCTGGGAGACCCAGACGGAACCTGGGGACCACTAAAACCAAATGATCATTAGATTTGAGGGGTTTGTGGTTGATCCGAGAACTGGGAGTTTGATCACAGGTTTGATCAGATCACTGACTGATTATATGTTGTAATGGCCTGCCAATCCTCTTGTCCTTTTATCCTTTTTTTCCTTTAATGTTGTTTTGCGCCGTGACGTAACACGGTGGTGCACACGCAGCGGTCAGTTATGTTTGAATCTATATATATATATATATATATATATATATATAATTTCCTAAATCTCACACATGTACAAAATTGGAGTAAAACCAATATGTTCACAGTCAACATCTGAAGCTTGCATTATGAAAAGTTTAAGCATTGCTTCAACACACCACAAGTAACAGGGGTGTTGAATAATCTCAAAATGGCATTCAGTGCCAATAAAATCTATCTAAAATAATTTTACTTTTAACCAGATTTTGTGGTAATATCAATTTTTCTTWGCTGTAGCTTCAATTGTAAGTTKTCCTTWATATCTTTTGTTTTCAAACAGTAGATCAATGGGTTAACAGCAGCTGGTAAAATACTGTACAACATTATAACAACAATTCGAACTGAGGAACTGAAAGTATAACCTACAAAATTTGCCAAGTACATAAAACATCTTGGTAAATAGTACACACATGTGATGATAAGTTGTGGTGTGCAGGTGGACAGAGCCCTAACACGACTTTCGGGGGAAGAGATTCTTAAAACTACAACAATAATAACAAAATAAGATACAATGATAAAACCCAGAGGTAATAACAAACTCAACATGGAAAGAACCAATCCCAGGAGCATAGAAGTACTTATATCATCACATCCAAGGCTTATTATTGACATTTGATCACAGTAGCACTGAACAATTATATTTAAGTTACAAAACGGAAGTCTCAAAGCATCAAAAACAACACCAAACATAAAAGACATTGGTAGAAGCCATGAGACTCCACACAGCACAGAAACTGTGTTATTGGTGAAAAGTGAGGTGTAACGCAGCGGAGCACAGATTGCAGTAAACCGATCAAGAGCCATCACCATTAGAATGAAAGAATGAGCCGCACCTAAAAAGTGAACAAAGTACATTTGTGCAAAACAGCTGTAAAATGAAATAATGCTGTCATTAAACCAGTATTTTGATATGATCTTTGGTAGAGTTACAGTCCCAAACATGAAATCACTTAATGCCAAATGACAGAAAATATCATACGTTGGTTTGTGAAGAGACCGTTCAGATCTGACAAACACTAAAATAAAAATATTTCCTGCAGCTATAGCCAAGTAAAGCAGAAAAAGCAGAGCTGAGACAGGCCCGTAATACTCTGGCAGAAGTCCAGGGAATCCAAGGATGAAAAAATATTTTACACTCGTCACACTAGTGTTCATCATCATCACCTGAATTCACGACAAGAACAAATAAACRGAAAATTACCAAAATGTGGTAACTCTGGAAAAAAATACAAATGTGTTATAAATTTTACACCTTTTACTACGTCAACCACATCAACAAAAGCACAGAACATGAAACACAAATAAGCAGCAGAGTGTTTTCTGTGCAGCAGCAGTAAAACAAACCATCTTTCTGAAGCAAACTGAAACACCTCACTATGCTGTCACCTAATATGTGCTGAGCACCTTGTGTTATTTTAGTTTATGCAAACAGAAGGATCCCTAATGAGAAGATTTCCCAAAAGCTTTCTCCTGTCTCACATTCCATGTTTACATATTTTAATAATTTTGGAATCATTATTTCTCTGCACATTAGAGAAAAAAAAACATTCTGAAGCATTTTAAGTTGATAGGTTATGTCTTGAGAGGCTTTTGTCAAGTTTGTAACAAAACTTTGATCTTTTTGCACGTCAAACTGTTCAAGCATCAGTTACCTAAATGTTGGAATATTGTTGAATCCTATTGTGGGTTTTGTTGTTGACTTCCTGTTGTGGGTGGATTTACACACAGGTGTGCAGTTGGCAATGATTAATAAATGGCCACAGGTTGCCCTGGGGAGAAATGAATGCAGGATAAATGAAGTTGAAGGCTGTGTTGTCTTTTCCTCCATTTGTTAAGGTATTTCCAGCCTTTTAGAGATGCCAACTTTGACACATTTATATTTTCTTCAAATGCAGAAGAAGAATTAGATTTTTGAAAAGGCCTTATACAGTATATCTTACTATACTGCCATCACATTTTTACAAAGGTTACAGGAGTTMTACAGTGAAAAATTCAAAAGACTAAATGGGGAGAAAAAACAAAMAAWAAAMATTGAGTATCAAATCAAAGCAAATGCTGATGCAATTTATTCATTTCTTTCTCAAGCAGACAAATAGAGTAAACAAAAAATGTTTGCTTTAACATATCTGTATGAAAAATATGCATAAAAGGAAGGGCATACTCTAAAATAATAATTTAATTGCATTTTTTTGTGAAGAGAAAATAGAGAGAGAGAAAAACAGAGAGAGAAGAAATTAGAAAGATAGAAAGACTGAAATAGCGATTAGGATTATATTAAATATACACCAACAAAACACAGGAC